GGCAATAAGTGTATTATATTTCCCCTACTTGGCTCATACTTCACTACAGCCAGTAGGAGGATCCACAGTGTGTGGCAGGGGGAGAAGGTGATAAACAAACCCAGAAGTGTTGAACGTCTACAGCTGTCAAAGAGAAGCAATATGCAGTATTTAAAGACACAGGGCACTAGAACTGTACATTTACATGCTGTTTGTTTACAGCTGTGGCACGGTTTATGTTGGACTCTGGAGTTCTTTAAGCTTGTTGTAAGCTTGTTTAAAAGAGAAATTCCCTCACGTTGGACTCATTTGTTTTCTCATTTTACTTGTGTCTACTTGTGTTTTACCTGTGTCTATAGGACAGTAAGCTCTAGTTCACACTTACACTTACACTTATGCGGGTTTGTGTGCATGCAGCAGCCAATTCATTTGAATAGGTTGCTGTGCCTGCATTTTCTGCAAAAAAAAGTGTATTTACCTTTTTAAAAATGTGGTGGTAGGGAAATCGCATGGTCTTTTTGACCATGAGTTCTTCCTGTGGTTCCTGCACCTGCAAATGCACTGCTGGCTGAGATGCGTGGGGGTGCCATGCATAGCAGTCAAGCATATCTCGTAAGAGCAGCATGATATGGTTATGAATATTTGCAAAAACATATGCTATTCCCAAACCTGCAAACCAGCCTGCACAGTGTGTTACATGGCTAAGTGATAGGATGAAAAAAGAGACTGACTTGTCAGATGAGAAAAAAATGACAGAGGTTTTGGACATTTCCTACAATATTAATGATGAAAATAAAATTGTTTGACATACAGTATATATTAATTGGACATATATTTTTATTTTAATCAGTTTGCTGATGTATTTGCTTTTAAGAATAATAATTATCCCTACACTAAAGCCACAAATATGATTTTCCTATTAACAAAATCCAACCATTTCTACATTTGTATCCTCTATTTGAAAGTTTATCAAAGCGGATCTTTAAAATAACCTGCAAAGACAATTGTGTGTTTTTTTTAAAACTAATAACTGAGCTTGGAAAGATAGCCTGGAAGAATATTTGCAAAGTACAGTAATATTAGACACAGAGTTAATTTACAATGCTACGGTTGTGTATGTTCTAATATTGGAGCACTAACACTGATAATATAAATCTTTTTACTTAAAGGACACAGGTGCCAAACTGTCATTAAAATTAAAATACAAAAGTAAAATTTAAAATATAATATAATTATAGATAAGATTCAGTGAATATGTACTGGGTAGGACATGTTATTTATATTGCTAATGGGCATATTTAACATGCCCTTTAAAATCCCCTGCATCACAAAGTAATGTACCTTTATAAAGATGGAAAAGGATATAAAAAGATATTCAAACCCTTGAATGCACCAGTCAGTACTGCCACTATGATGATACTTGAACAAAAATTTGCTGTATGGTTGAGTTGCCAGAAAGAAGTCTTTATTGCACCAATGCCACAAAAAAGCCTGGTTACAAATATTCCCAACAACACCTGGACACGCCTCAATGGGGCTTTTTTGTGACACTGGCACAGTAAAGGCTTCTTCCTGTAAACTCAACCGTGCAGCTAATTTTTGTTCAAGTATGGTCATATTGTGCTCCTTAAAAATAATCACACCATCTTTTTTCCAGAGCAGCCTGTATTTCTCCTAAGGTTACCTGTGGATTTTTCTTTGTATCCCAAACAATTCTTCTGACAGTTGTGGCTGCAGTCTTTCGTAGTCTACCTGACTATGGCTTGGTATCAAGATATCCCTGCATTTTTCACCTCTTAATAAGTGATTGAACAGTACTGACTAGCAAATTCTAGGCTTTGGATATCTTTTTATATCCTTTTCTATTTTATAAAGCTACATTACCTTGTTACGCAGATCTTTTGACAGTTCTTTTCTGTTCCCCATTGCTCAGTATCTAGCATGCTTAGTGCATCCAAGTGACAGCTTACAAACTCATTGACTATTTAAACACAGACACTAATTGCAATTTAAAAAGCCACAGATGTTAGAAAAGAACCTTTCATTGCCATTTTAACCTGTGTGTCTGTCACCTTGTGTGTCTGTATCAAGGCCAAACATTCCAAACTTTTGATCAGTGCCATTTGGGTGATTTCTGTTATCATTAGGATTTAAAAAGGAACCAAACAACTATATGATAATAAATGGCTTCATATGATCACTGTTCTTAAATTAAAGACAGTTTTTGGCATAATCAATCATATTATTAATATCAATGCCAAAATATAAAAGTTTCTGCCAGGGTATGCAAACTTTTGAGCACAACTGTGTGTGTCTGTATATATATATATATATATATATATATATATATATATATATATATATATTTTTACGTTTTTCAGTTTTTGGTCCATCAATTGACAAGGGAATGTATATACAAAAAATTGTACAGATTAAGAGTCAGGCAGGTCTTTGTGACACATTTGTTGGCAACAATAGTTGACCAGCAGTTCCCCTTCCTGATTTACAGCCACTGAGATTACCTCAAATATCAAGCCCAGAGTCAGGAGATCCATTTTAATACAATCATGGCTGCTATTGCAGCTGGAAGCATATTTTAATACTTGCCATTCTTTGTGATAGACATTGGGGTTGATTTACTAAAACTGGAGAGTGCAAAATCTGTTTTAGCTCTGCAGCTCTGCGTTGAAACCAATTAGCTTCAATTTATTTTTTGTCAAAGCCTAATTGAACAAGCTGAAGTTATAAGCTGATTGGCTACCATGCAAAGCTGCACCAGATTTTGCACTCTCCAGTTTTAGCAAGTCAACCCCATTAACATCAACAGCAGAAAAAGGGTTTAGAGAAAATTAATGTGTGTCCAGTCCAAAGCTTGGTATTTACAGTCCACATTCCATTGGCTACATGTATCACTAATGAAGCTCATATCATTGTGTTGTACCCAAAATTGTATTTTGAAATGTTAAAAAAAATGTATATGAATTTCATTAAAATATTTGTTTTTGGAAAACAGTTAACAATACATTTTTGGAGTTTCTTCCCTTCCTGCTAAACTTAATTTCAATTGTTCAGGAAGAGATTGCAACCTTCATTCCTTTTACTGCATGCTTTCTTTATATTCTTACAGTTCTTCAATCAAACATAGCTAACAAGCTGGTTAAACTATGAAAGAATATTCTGTTTGTTAGCGTGCAAATCTTTCTTGGGATTAATTTTAAGCAAGAGATACAAGTACATTCTCTATTAACAGAACACTGCATAAAAAGACAATTAGTGATAAAAAAGAGAAGTAGGTTCCATTTTCTTGCAATCCATCCAACTGTTAGAACTTCACATGCTTAGCTGTGCTTGCTGTTTTAATTGAACGGCTCATTAAACAACATAGTAGGAAAAATGTGCTTCATAGTACAGTTGAATATCTTAAAACAGTTGCTATCACATACTGCAGATCATATTTTCATCTGGTCAATTACGTTGCCTGGGGATTTTGACTAATATATGTAATATTCATTCTCAACAGGTCTAGACACAAACATTTGTTTGAGGAAGGTTATCTGCAAAACGATCAAGATTTTTACACTTTATAAATCACAGTCCTTAGAGTTGATTGCAATTATTCCATAATGCATAAGGATAAGAAAAAATGTACAAGACCCAAAAATATAGAGTAATAAAATCTTTCAATCAGTCTAAGTATATGATAATATGTAATAATGACTTAAACTACTTTGCAATCACTGAATGGTTTATCCTGTGGTGTACCACTTGCTTTAATTATTTATAGAAAGATGATGGTTTATTTTGAAAAGAACACATTTATACCATCACACTTTAATCATAATCAATATGCGTTACCAGGAGGGCCATGCAGCTGAAGGAAAACAATTTCTAGTTATTTAAATTCATATCTGGAGAACCACAAGGCATAGTATTGTCTATACCGGAAAAAAATAGATGCATTTCTCATGAATAATTGTCTAAATAAGGGTAGAATGTTCCAGATATGCCCTAAAGCTGAACACAAGGGATGTTGTATTTTGCATATGCACATTAGGTCACCTTGACCCAATGTAAGTATGCATATGTGATGCCTGCTCAGCCTCTGTGGAAGCTGTAAATCACTGTAGTAGCCCAAGATATTACAGTGATTGCTGGGATCTGCTGGATGCCATGCCCTTCTGCATAGTAACCGCAGACAGTCATTTGTTCAGCACGGCTGGCAGTCAGAAAAATGCATTGCATTGTTCTTAGTGAGTGCAAAGTATTCTCTGATTGGATGATGTAGAGAGTGTAACATCACCGACCCTCCTCTCCACCTCAAATTAGAGAACACTTTGCATTCATTGAGAAAAATGTTCTCTGAATGGTGGCTCTGTTGAGCAAGCATCCTCCCCCATGGTTACTATGCACAAAAACAACTGCTTGATAATACACCAGAAAGATCACAGCCATCACTATGATAGCCCAGGCTACTACAGTAATTACAGATTCCAAAGAGGCTGATCAGATATTACATAGGTATGAATGCAAACAAGCTGGCTCAATGTAAGTAAGCAAAATATATCATTAGAGTTTAGTTTAACCACCTCCTGCCCGCCATATAAGTTAATGACGGGAGCAAGGTGGTACTCTCATTCTGGGAGGATTTCATATGACACTGTCACACTCTAACTGCGTGTGTGCACACCCTGGGTACACAGCGGATCACTGATCAATGGAAAGAGCCGATGACGTTGGCTCTGTCATGTGACCAGCTGTGTCCAATCATAGCTGATCGCATGTAAATAAGGAAATGCCGGTTATCGGCATTTCTCTCCTCATGAGCTGTCACGCTGATAGCTCATGAGGAGAGGAGAGCCGGTAATTGGCATTACTCAGAGGGGGCATGTACACTGATCATCAGGGCATGAGTGCTGCCTTTCAGTGCCCACCAGTGATGCCTGTCAATACCCATCAGTGCCAGCTACCAGTGCCTCCTCATCAGTGCCCATCAGTACCACCTACCAGTGCCTCCTCATCAGTGCCCATCAGTGCCACCAATCAGTGCCCATCAGCGCAGCCTATCAGTGCCCATCACAGAAGCCTCATTAGTGCACATCTGTGAAGGAGAAAAATCACTTATTTACAAAATTTTCAGTTGTTTTTGGTTTGTTTAGCAAAAAAAAAAAAAAAAAACCAAAGGTAATTAAATACCACCAAAATAAATCTCTATTTGTGTGAAAAAAATGATAAAAATGTCATATGGGTACAATGTTGCATGACCGTGCAATTCTCATTCAAAGTGCAACAGCACTGAAAGCTGAAAATTGGCCTGGGCAGGAAGGGGGTATAAGTACCCTGTAGCAAGTGTTTAACAACTTCCAATAGTAACAGTCATAAGTTAACGCAACTGTAAAAACAGCAATTTAATACTGAATCATTTTCTAGGACATAGAACACACAGCAATAACCCAAATCTAAAAAAATGCACTAACTACAAATTTCATTACTATGACAGTCTGCCTAAATTGTAGGGAAATGTTGAAATACTTTACAAAATTCCTCACTACCAGGACATTTGCAGCATATGAAGCTTAGAGTAACAGTGCTCCTGTTGTTTCATATCAGTGTAGCATGTACAAAGGTGCTGGACCCAAAACCACTGCTGTTAGGGATGAGGAGTTAATCTGTCTTTGGACAGTTTTACAAATCCGGCTTGAAGTGTGAAGTTTTCAATCTTTGTGGTGATCCCCCTTGAAATCCATGGGGGTGCGAATCTTGTTTTTCAAGTCCATCCATTAAATTTCCTTGGTATTAAATGTTCCAGTGGTATTATAACAAAGTGGAAGAAACTGGGAACAACAGCAACTCAGCCATGAAGTGGTAGGCCATGTAAAATGACAGAGCGGGATCGGCGCATGCTGAAGCGCACAGTGCTCAGGAGTCGCCAACTGTCTGCAGAGTCAGTATCTAAAGACCTCCAAACAGCGACAACAATGCGTAAAGAGCTTCATGGATTTCCATGGCCGAGCAGCTGCATCCAAGCCTTATATCACCAAGTGCAATGCAAAGCTTCAGATGCAGTGGTGTAAATCAAGCCGCCACTTGACTCTAGAGCAGTGGAGATGTGTTCTCTGGAGTGAAAAAAATCTTGCTTGTCTGTCTGGCAATCCAATGGATGTGTCTGGGTTTGATGGTTGCCAGGAGAATGTACTTGCCTGACTGCATTGTGCCAAGTGTAAAGTTTAAGGGTTAAGCATACCAAGCCATTTTGGACAATTTCATGCTCCCAACTTTGTGGGAACAGTTTGGGGATGGCCCCTTCCTGTTCCAACATAACGGCGCAACAGTGCACAAAGCAAGATTCATAGAAACATGAATCAGCGAGTTTGGGGTGGAGGAACTTGACTGGCTTGCACAGAGTCCTGTCCTCAACTCGATAGAACACCTTTGGGATGAATTAGACCAGAGACTGCGAGACAGGCCTTCTTGTCCAACATCAATGACTGACCTCACAAATGCACTTCTGGAAGAATGGTCAAACATTTCCATAGACACACTGCTAAACCTTGTGGACAGCCTTCCCAGAAGAGTTGAAGTTGTTATAGCTGCAAAGGGTGGGACAATTCAATATTGAACTCTACAAACTAAACAGACTAAGACTGGGATTCCATTAAAGTTCATGTGCGTGTAAAGGCAGGCATCCCAATTACTTTTGGCAATATAGTGCATGTTTGATATATACACATATGTCTGGTTTTATGCGGTATAAGGGAGTTTATTACACCTAGGGAGCGCCACATGTCCATTTCTAAGTATCTGTCTGTTGAGTGCCAAAATGCATGTTGATGTGAGCAGCACCCTTTACACTTTTTTAAACTTTTTAAATTTACTTTAAGACATTTTGTGGTGAATTTATTTCAGTTTATTGGTATTCACTTTAGAGTACACACATTAGGTTGCGCAATAGTTTTGCTGACATTTACATTATAGCAGGTATGTATCAACTTGGGGGCAATCAGCTTGTCCATACATGGATCGAAATTTCTATCCATGTATGGCTGGCTTTAGAATCTTCAGGACAAGTGCTCAGAAAAGAACACAGCGCTAAATCACAGTACTTCCCATAAAACAACGTTTATTAAAACACATAAAGATAGATAAAACACTCAAGTTGCTCAGTGCATGTGTATACTGAAATCAAGTACCTTCGTAATCCTACGGTGGCAGCAGAAATATTCTAATCAATTCTGGCATCCTTCTGCACAAGTGTAGTAACATCACATTGACTACCTTGATGTATCAAGATGTATCATCTATTGACTTCACCGCTGACAAGTCATTTGGGAACACAGGGGGGTTGCTGCTAGTTTATGGACATGTTTATATCAGTTTATATGAGATTTTTGGTGGTTGGCTTTACATCTACTCTAACAAACTATACTTGAGTTATTTAACTTGCATTGTTGGGATACATTTTCCTTGTACACCAAAAAATCTATTTAAGGACAGCTATTTGTTTGCAACAACTGATTGATAGCTATTCAATTGTCACCAACCTAGCTATTTTTGTTCAATTAAATTGAATATTAAATTTTTTTTCATATTGTGACTTATAGCTTGAAAAATTAAAAAAAACTGTATAAAAAAACTCAAAACACCTCACTCCTTCAATTCATGTGTGCTTCAATCTCTTGCCACAAATGGATGTTTGGTAGTTTTCAGTATTTCAGGTTTGAGTTGCACTTTGCTGAAGGCATTCTCTGACATGAGGACAGGTTAGTAGCTTAAGTACATATTGGACTTTAAGCTCACTTTCAGCCACCTCCAGCCAGTGGTACATCCTCCTCTTCATTGCCGGCACCTAAACCCTGCTTGCCTTACCACCAACATCCCAACCCCCTTCTCCTGCTATTTCGTCTTTGTTTCCTAGTGCCTCATTGAATTCCACATGCTGTTAATGGGCAGGGATAACCTTCTTTTCAAAATAATAATGGCTGGAGGATGGCATTCTTGGAAAAATAATGGTGACTGGCTACCTGCTGCAGTGGTGTAGCAAAGGCCATAAACTCAGAGAAAGGTGGATTTGACAAGGCTGGTTTTAATGCTCCCGGCATTAGGATGGTTTGGCAACTTTTTTTTACTACTCCAGCAGTAGATACAATAAAAGGGCCTAAAAAACACTGCAGAGCTCTCTGAGGATAGCATGTCCTGCAATTCTGACTCCACATTGCAGACAAATGGATGCTCTGCACCACTGAGGACTAAAGAAGAAGTAAAAATAATTGGGGAAGAGCTCATTTTGCAGTACTTCCAGACAAATGGATACTCTGCACTCTTTAAAAGCAGAGGAAGGAAAGGGTGTAATAGCAGCACTTGCAGACAAGTGGCTTCTCTGTGTTCATGAGGCGTAGAAGAGATACAAGGAAGTACAAGTTGTAAAAGATACAAGAAATGTATTAGAAGCACAGGCATGCAAGTGGCTGCTTTGCACATTGGAGGAAGAGGAGGATGAGGAAGATGAAGATTTAAGGAAGTAAAGATAAAAATGGAATGCTCCACTTGAGGTTGGATGCCAGGTCTTACTATCAGAGAGGAAGAAGAAGGAAATAGGTGAGGTAATGCAAGAGATGGAGAAAGGAAGGAGAGGTAAAGAAGAAGAAGGTGGTAGAAGTGGAGGTGGAGGAGGTGAAGGGGGAGTCCTTCATTTTTTTTGAGGGCAGTCCTGAATTGTGTAAGGCAGGGAGCCTAAGACTGTAGAATTCTTCACCTAATGTTTTGCTGCTGCCTGTCTTCCTCCATGGCTGTAGACTCCCCTCTTCCTCTTGCTACTGCTTGCTTTTTCCCCTGCATTGTCCAAGGGCTTGTACCATATGGCTATAGGTCCCCCCTGAAGCCGTGCTTTCAGTGCCCTGACTATAAAGAAATAAATGTATATTAAAAAAATGCAGATGGATTTTGAGTACCTCTGAGGAGAAAGATTATGTAGGTAAAGCATATGAATTGCAGACATGCCTGTCTGTGCAGCCCAACCATGACATCAATACCAAGAAAATATAAAAAAAATTAAAATAAAAAATAAACTATAAATATAAACAAAAATAACATGAGTTACCAACACTAAAACATTAAGGCTGGGAATATGCCACTTTGGGGTAGTTTTTTTTTTTTTAGCTCTAGATTTTAGCTGATGCCCACTACCATATGAAGCCGCACTGTCCAGAAACTGGACAATATTTTTGTCTGTTGTATCCAAATAATACACTCATATTTATTTCAAAATAAAGCATGCTTCCTCTCTTCCTCTTATATTGTGGTCTAACCAAACTAGTTATGTACTGTCCAGCTATTACACAACATTTGTGGCTATTGCCTCTCAAAAAATAGACTCTAAATTTTATTGAAAGATAAAACCTGCCTTGTCCATTTCTATTTGCTGTTTATTCAAGTGCTCTCATACTATCCTAATGCTGGCCAACATCTACCAAACGCATGCCTGGAGTCTATATTTTTTTCAATTTTGTAGGAATAATTGGGGATACATAGATAGAGATGCACTAGTGGAGGACTACTCTACCTCACACTTGGCTCTGCTATTGGACTTGCAGAGCACTGAAAAGCTCCTTGCCACTAAGTACATGATTCAGAAACCTAGCAATGTTTGGGTCATTTAACTACTGGAGGATTGAGAGGAACCCCACCCGGTCATCTTTGCAAAACAGCTCATTAAGACATTGCTGGACATGTGGGAGGTGCTCGCAATGTATATCAAGACCACAGAATCACCAATGGGAAGTGACCACTGTACCTGTTTCTGCTGAGATTCATGACCTTCCTTTAGAAGGATATGGTTTTGGCTTTATCACATAAACTCTTTGAGCATCTCTATATAAATACCAAGCTCATGCTATTCCCAGATTTTTTTTCTTTGAAAACCCAGAAGAGATGTTGCTACTTCATCTAGTTGAGAAAGTGCCTGAGGTACAAAGGTAATTTTCATGTTTAACGCAATGGGCCAACTTAGCTTTTAGATATTCTGCTAGCACTGAACAATTTGTTGGTCTCTCTGAGGTAGGATTTCCTGACACAAGAATGACAGCATACATTAATGGGTACAGGCTCTGCCACCTGTCTAATCACAGGACCAATTACAGT